TCCCGGACATCCCAGATGTCCTCGTTTTTCAAGGACCGCAACTTGCCCCCCACAGTGATCGAAAATGCCCTCAACCGTGTCTCCCACATTTCCCGCAACTCATCCCTCACACCCCCTACCCGCAATAACAACCGAAACAGAATCCCCCTCGTCCTCACGTACCACCCCACCAACCTCCGAATCCAACGCATCATCCTCCGACATTTCCGCCATCTGCAATCTGACTCCACTACCAAAGACATTTTTCCCTCCCCACCCTTTATCCGCTTTCCGGAGGGACCACTCGCTCCGTGACTCCCCTCCAGCCCCACCACCCCCGGCAGTTTTCCCTGCAACCAAAGCAAGTGCTACACCTGCCCCTACATCTCCCCCCTCACCCCCATCCCAGGCCCTAAGAAGACCTTCCACATCAAACAGATGTTCACCTGCACATCTGCTAACGTGGTATACTGTATCCGCTGTTCCCGTCGTGGCCTCCTCTACATCGGGGAAACCAGGCGGAGGCTTGGGGACTGCTTTGCGGAACACCTACGCTCAGTTCGCAACAAACAACTACACCTCCCAGTCGCGAACCATTTCAACTCCCCCTCCCACTCCTTGGACAACATGTCCATCCTGGGCCTCCTGCATTGCCCGAAAGCTGCAGAAACAGCATCTCATATTCCGCTTGGGAACCCTGCAGCCCAAGGGTATCAATGTGGACTTCACAAGCTTCAAAATCTCCCCTTCCCCGAACGCATCCCAAAACCAGCCCAGCTAGTCCCCGCCTCCCTAACCATTCCTCCCACCTCAAGCCCCACCCCCATCTCCTACCCACTAACCTCATCCCGCCTCCTTGACCTGTCCGTCCTCCCTGGACTGACCTATCTCCTCCCCAACTCCCCACCTACATTCACCTTCGCTGACTCCAACCCCGCCTCTCTTTGACCTGTCTGTCTCCTCTCCACCTATCTTCTCCTTTATCCATCTTCTATCCGCCTCCGCCTCCCCCTCTCTCCCTATTTATTTCAGAATCCCCATCCCCTCCCCCATTTCTGAAGAAGGGTCTCGACCCGAAATGTCAGCTTTCCTGCTCCTCTGATGCTGCTTGGCCTGCTGTGTTCATCCAGCTCTACACCGTGTTATCTCAGATTCTCCAGCATCGGCAGTTCCTACTATCTCTTTTTTGTCTAACAACAGATTACAACACCAGTTCACTGAGTGGAAAGTCAGAAATTTCTTGTCCATTTCATTTGTATGATCAACACAAGAACACATGATAAGGCCAGTTGACAAAAAAAAAAGAACTGAAGAGGTAATTATTTGTTTACCTTTCTGTCAGGTTTCGGTGAATTCTGGATGGAGCCCAAAGCTTGTCTCTTGTATTCCAGTTTCTCATTTAACTGTCGCAGTTTGTTGACAGCATAACTAGCCTGCTCATTAATGCCATTACTGCCTTCATCCAAGACTTCCTCACTGCTCTCACAAACCTGGTTCTGGAAGAAGAGGATGCTGATTTAGGAGGAATTTTAATACCATACAGATAACAAGCCATTGTTTATTTTCAATTTCCAGAATCAAAACTAACAAATGCTGTCAGGTTGCTAAATGAAAACAGTTTTTGACTCATTCGAATGATTGCTCATCTCCACTGCTTGCTTGCTACCAAACATCAGCCTATTGCTGGATGTTTGACATCACATCCAGGCACAAAACCAGATGACCAAAGGCATGGCTGAAACAAATAATATTAGAGTTTCCCTGCCTCACCGCACTCTACATACAAGCGCCTCAGTATCACTGCTACAGAATTACATTGTTTGCTAACTACCTCATCCAGAATGCATCTATAATTAATTTGTATTGAACAGAGGCTACGTGGACCCCTGACAAGATCAAATGCCAGCTCTGATGGTGGCCTGGAAACAAATCAGTTATCTGCCATCTTGACTGAGGGCAGTGGGAAGAATTTAATTCTGTTCCAAACAAGAAAATTGGCTTTTCCCCCAATGCTTGAAGGAATTCCTCTTCCGAAGTTACCGCCCCACCATGGTTACTTTCCCTGGAAACTGCCAATTCCGCTAATTGGCACCACATCCACAAGTATCCACTCCATCCACCATTGATGCTCAGTAGCAGCAGTGTATCCCATCTACAAGATGCACTAAAGAAATCTGCCAAATATCCTTGGACACCACCACACAAGCTCATAACCACTTCTGTCTAGAAGGACAAAAGTGACAGATACATGGGAACAGCATTTCCTGCAAGTATTTTTTCCAAGCCACTCAACAACCTGACTTAGAAACGCAAGAGTTATCCTTCACTGTCACTGGGTCAGAATCTTGGAATTCCCTCCCAACGGCATTGTGGGTCAACTTACAGCACATGGACAGAAGTGGCTCAGAAAAGCAGCTCACCACCACCTTCTCAAGGGCAACTAGAGAAAGGCAGTAAATGCTGGCCAGCCAGCGACATTGCAAAAGTGAACAAATACTGTCACAGAATAAAGACAGAATGGAGGAAACATCACTCCCTACTTACGTCAGAGTTCAGTACTTTTTTGGCCATCTTTATGCCACGGCTGTAATGAGATCTGGAGCAGAATGTGCCAGTTGAGGCCCAGACTGACCATCAATGAGCAGAATATCAATGAAGATGTGCCATAATAATGGTAAAATGAGAGATATGCTGTATCACGAGGTTATAGATTGTTTTGCAGTATAATGCTCTTCTTGATATCCTCAATGTTTTTAGAATGCTCAGATTTTATCTGGTAGTTCTGTCCTGAAACTATTTTAATTAGCACGACAGCAGTGCCACATGACACGATGGAGATGTCTTCCACTTGGGATTCCACCCACACAAAGACTATGCTGTAATTGCTCCTACCTGCACTGTCATAGACTGAGGCATCTGCAACAATACACTGGTGAGGATAAGATCAAGAGGCTTTTTCCCTCTTGGTTCCCTCACTACTAGTTAGGCCCACGTCAGGCAGATGTGTCTTTAGCACCCCACCAGCTCAGACAGTTGTGATACAAATAAACCAGTAAATGTATTCTTGATCATATACGTTGCAATTCCTCAGAGTGCATATTCCTTGCGCTTTACTACATCAGTGTCTCTTCCAATTGGTGCTCGACATGGACATGTTAGAATTCATCAGCTGAGGATCTAATGCCAGATTAAATTTTACGCCCATTCCCTTGAAATTGTACAGCACTGCTGCGACCTCTTCCAAACTGAGCATCTGGGAAATTGAGAGAATTCCCAAACCCTCCATTGATGACTCTGTTACACAGCAACATCAATGGTGAAGGAGGACAGCTTTTCTTCAAGAATCCCAAAGAATCCAGTGTTCTTCCAGATCAACAAGTTCATTCGTTCAGTGCAATCTATAATCTATTGATTAAAAGACTCCAATTACTTACTGAGGAACTGGATTTATAGGAACTGGCAGCTGAAAATGATGCAGACACAGGTCGCTGAATGGGCAATCAGCATCTGTGTACAAGGAAACCAGCTTAAAAACAAACAAACAATCTTGAAGAGGGAAGAAACTTTGCAATGATTTAAGTGAGAAACGATTAAATACTGCTCTGGAGTTCACAGAAATACAAGATTTATGTGACAGACTGAGAGGATTTGAAATTGGTTCAAGCAAAGGAATAAATTTGATTCACGACATTTAGCTCACAACCAAAGCAAAGGGAAAAAACAAGAAATTTTCATCCAGCCTTTTGGCATTAGCAAAGTTTAGCAAGATAGACAGACTAGTAATGTTTTAGCTCCTGGTTTCTGTTCATACTAGTTTCTAGGCAAGATAAAAAATATTCACGTGAAACCTAACAATATCACAGTTGCAATTGTAGATCACACTAATTTCCTTAATATGGTAATCATAACCTCTGGGTTTGTGGTTAATCGATTACTGAGCATAACTAGCAGCTCTTGGTGTGCATGCAACTGAGCTTCTCTTTATTCCAAGGTCAGATGTCAGGATATTTACTGTTGAGTGTGCAATGATCAGTACTATTCCACACCACTCAGATACTAAAGCAGTCCATGTTCAAAAGAAGGTTTGGGCTGATCAAGTGTGAAGTAATATTCATGCCACACAAATACCATGTAATGACCATCCCCAATGAGGGAATCTACCCAAAGCCCCTTCACAATCAATGGCATTATCATCACTGAATCCACCAATATCAATCTTGGGGTTTACCATTGATTATAAAGTGAACTGCAACAGTCATATAAATACAGCTGCTACAAGAACAGGTCAGAGAGTAGGAATCCTATAGTGAGTAACTCATGTCCCGACGCCCTAAAGCCTGTCCACCATCTATAAAGACACAAATCTTGTGTATTGGAATATTCCCCACTTGCCTGGACAAGCACAGCTCAAATAACACAAGCAGCTTGACACCATCCAGAACAAAACAACCCACTTGACTGACACCATATCCACAAGCATCCACTCCCTCCACCACCGATGCTGAGTAGCAATGTGCAGCAAGATGCACTGCAACAATTCAATAAGGTTCCTTAGACAGTCCCTTCCAAACCCACACCCACTACCATCCAGAAAGACAGGAGTGGCAGTTACATGGGAACTCTACCACCTGCAAATTCCCATTCAAGCCATTCACCATCCTGACTTGGAAATATATCACTGTTCCTTCAGTGTGTCTAGGAAAAATCCTGATACCACCACACCCCACCCATCCCCTCACAGCTTTGAAGGTGTATCTAAACCAAATGGGCTATAGAGTTCAAGAATCATCACCTTCTTCTCAAGGGCAATTAGGGTGGGCAGTAAATGCTGGTCCAGCCATATCCCATGAACAAAAATAAGTCAGCTTTCAATGAGAGAGGAAATCTGCCTTTTCATAAAAAGCAATACCTACTCATAAGCAAAAGCAGACACAATGGACATATTCTCATTCAGGTTCAAACCAGTTGGGATTCAGAGGGTAATTGTTTGAGGACTGACATTAAACTGAACAGATACATTCAATTGGTCAAGTCCATGTTTCTTAAACAAAAGTTAGAAAGGCTGTAGCACAAATAAATAGTCTAAAAGGCCTTCAAGTAAAACAGCTTACACAAACATACGTGAACGAATTGCCCAGGTTCGCATGGGTAAATACAAGCAAGCCAATATCTTGTACAAATGTCAACATTCTATCACAGACACAATGAAAGCCACAACAAACATCAAAAGTTCTATGAGCTACATTAACCATCAGCGACCTGTACTGCATATTTTGAGTTAACCAGGTGCAGCCATTATTGCAATGTAGGATGTATGATCATTTATTCTGGAGTTTGGATTTTGAACTAGTGACATGTGGGCTTTGTCTGGTGTGAAGCAAGTTAATGTCTAATTTCTGGACCTATGATTTGTTTTAAATCCAGTAGGCGTGTGTCTCCCTGGAGTGCTGACAGGAATTTATTTGCACCAGATAGTAAAAGAGAATTGACCTTTTTTTTGGATTACGGGAAAAACGCAAAGCTTGGAAAGCTTTTATTTTTCAGTCTGCAGAAATTCTGCTTGGAGTAACATGTAAAAACGCAGTTCCTCCTGAAAGAAGGGGATAATTTAGAACAGTTAAGAAATAGATTACCTCAGTGTAATGTAAGGGTGGGATGCTCTTCAGAAGATCAGTGCAGACTCAATGGGCCAAATGGCCTCTATCTGTACCGAGGATGCAAATGAAAGATCAGACAGATTGTTCAGAATATTGTATCTTATGAAAGCACATCTTACCACATCATCACGGTTGTCAGTACTGGATTGTAAAGTGCTCTTTTCCTCTTCTCTTCTAGCAAGTCTTTCATATAAGTCACTTACAAGGAATGATGGGTAATACCGCTCTTTAAGAGTCTCATAAACATCACTCTGAATTTTGGTGAAGACATCAGTTCCTTTGTTACCCACAAGGCTTTGCTGGATTTCTTTATAAAGTGCCTTCTCCACTGGAATTTCTCGGCTTTCCACAAAGTAATTCTGGTAGATTTCACCAACGAGTTGAGGTATTTCAGTCTAAATTGATAAATGCAGAAACTATAGGTACAAAAGGGCAATACAACCATTATCCAACACTCTTTTCTGTCAAAGAATGGGACTTTTGCTGTGTTGTGATTCAATGGAGGCAAGCAACATACTGTCGTCTGAGTCCGGGACATATTTCAACAGGTTGAATGGCCTTCTCCTGTTTCGATGTTCCTCCTAGGTTCCATCAAGTCTAGCTTACACAAGTCAGATAATTGACATTGTTCTAATGAAAGGTCACAGGCTTAAAACATTAACACCGTCCATGCATTGCCAGAACTGCCAATTACTTCTAACAATTTGTAATTATGTTTCAAATTTCCAATATCTGCAGCTCTTCATTACCACAGAGATGGTATTGGGCATAAGAATTCCCAAGTGACAATGTTCAAAATTTATAATGCTAATATCCATGATTATTATTGGCCAGGATATCAATGACAGATTGGTTGCCCATCACATCAATGTCTCTGAAGTTTTAAAACAGAGAATCGGTTTCACAAATAAGAATAGCCTGAAATCAAAAACCAAAAGAACTGCAGATGCTGTAAATCAGGAGCAAAAACAAAGTTGCTGGAAAAGCTCAGCAGGTCTGGCAGCATCTGTGAAGGAAAAAACAGAGTTAACGTTTTAGATCCAGTGACCCTTCCTCAGAACTGATAGTGGCTGGGAAAACATCAGTTTATAGGAGAAAAATGGGGGATAGATTAGGGAGTAAACGATAGGATACAGCCTAAAGAAAGAGAAGAGCAGTTGGACAGACAAACAGTTGATAACGAAACTGCTCTTCTCTCTCTTTAGTCTCTATCCTTTGTTTTCATAGCCTGAAATTAAGTGTACTGTACTGAGTCAAAAATCACACTACCTTGTTTGCATTTTTCAAGTATTCAACAGACTCCCAGAAGCTAACGAGAGCCCTCTTGTCCATCCTTTCCATGTATACTCGGAAATGTTCCCTGTAGGATGGATTTGACAAGATTTCTTCAAACTGAAGAATCTGAAATACATAAATAGAATATACTGTATGCAGAACTTAACACAATCCTTACACCTTTCACTGCCTCAGGAGGGAAAAACACTAATTTAAAAGGAACTGAAGTTGTCTGCTTTACAATTTAAATTTCAAGCTTCATTCTTATACAGAAGAAAACCTATATCAGCCTACAGATGGTTTATGCTTTTTATTTGCATAAAGAAATAAAGAACTGCATTTATGTAGCCACTTTCACAAACTCAAACATCCAACCATGTTTTACAACTAATTAAGTACTTCCAATAGAAGCAATGCACAGGGCTACAAGGAAAAGACAGTAGAATGGCACAACATCATAATGATTCTGTGAAGACTAGTCATTGCTTTGGTTCATGGTCTTAATTAGGCAGCACAATCTCTACAGTATTTCAGCACAATTGAGATAAGCACAGGAGAAATAAAAGAATAATGCATCCACAAATGTGTTGCTTTGGTGAAGATGCAGATCACTGCCAGCAAAAAACAACGCAGCTGCCAGTAGAGGGAACAAAATGGTGCTGCCCAAATATTCATGGAGTCAGAACCCACTCGACAGCAGAGGGGCCTCCTCTTCAGTTCTTTTCAGATCCATAGATGAGCCATTGGAGTGGGAGTGTGTCAGTATGAGTGTAAGTGTGTGAGAATGTATGTGCACATGCGTGTTTGTAGGAAGTCCCAAGGCAGCAGGGAGACAGAGACATCACCAATAGCAAGTGGGAGACAACCCTGAGGCTCAGTGCCATTTCTATAACAACCAACGTCACCAGTCACTCCATAAATAAAAATCAAAACATTCATTCCACTTTACTCAAAGGCCTCTACCAGCACCACCATTTCCAAGCAGAAAATTGAATCAAAGAATCATAGAATGGTCAAGGCACAAAAGAGAGCCATGCAAGAACAACTCAGTTAGTCTCACACCTCCTGCTTCTCCTCACTGCCCTGGAGTTTTTTTTTTCTCCCTTCAGTTAAGTCTGCAATTCTCATTCATAAGCTACAATTGAATCTCTCTCCACCTCATTTTCAGGCACTGCTTTCAAGATTCCAAGTAGTTCCTGCATAAAGATTTTCCTCAAGTCAGTATAACTTCTTTTGTCAATCTCCTTAAACTCAGATGTTTTTGCTAACAGGAACAGTTTCTCTGCATCCACTGTCTGGAACTCTAATTTTGAACACTTGTATCAAATCTCTTCTGAAACCTCTTTCAGGAGAGCTCTCCCAGCTTTGCTGATCTATCCAATTAACTGAAGTCACCAACCCCGGAACCACTTACTTAAATATTTTCTACACCCTTTGTAATGCTTTTGCATCCTTCATTATGTGACGCCCAGAACTAGGCACAATATTCTAGATGGGGCTAGACCAGTGTTTGATAAAGGATTCTGCATGCTTATCAAACCTTATCAATTTTTTCAACCTGCACTACTATCTTCAGTGATTTTTGCAAATATTACCCCTCCAATCCTTCCTTTTATAATTGTATCTTTTATTTTATGTTGCCTCTCCTGCTTGCCAAAACATATCACGTCACACTTCTCCGCTTTAAACATCATCTACCCATTCCTCGTCCTATGTCCTTTTAAAGTTTATCCTTTTTCTCACAGTTCAGAATACTTACACAAATGTGGAATTCCAGACTTTGAAATTATGCCCTGCACACTGTTGTCTACAACACAAATGCAGAACAAGGAAAGTGGTGCCAACAAAAACCCTTGTGGAATCTCACAACACATCTTCTGCCAATTAAGAAAAACAACTGTTACAAATACCCTCCTCACCACTCAGCCAATTCCTGTCCATGTTGTAACTAACTATAATTTTGTATGTGGCACTTTATCAAATAGCTGTGCTTATGGCCAACGTCACCAAATACATACAATCAAAGCTTTTAAACTCACACCCATAGCACACTATAAATGACTGGAAATAAAGTCATCAGGGTCAGCCAAACACAAGTATATTCTGGATGAATGATTGTGGGGAGAAAAGCTAATGAAAAGGGCTTCTGACCCATTTTGCTGCCAAAAACAAGTTTGTCAAAATTTTCCCTTCAGGTATTTGCAACCTGACTGCGTTGAACATCTTTAAAAATAGGAAACAGTTCAATCTAAATTGGGAGTAATTTCATTTCCAGGTAACAGACAAACAAGCTTGAATTTCGGTGTGTACTGGCAACTGCCGCATGCGTCATGTCAATAAGCCTACAGATACAAGCTTATTGCCTTTGATGAATTCAAATACAAGAACTTTTACACGAATGGTTTGTCATGTGTGTGCAACTGTGTGCATACAGACGGACGCAGTGGGCATCATTAATGGTGGCACTCTACCCATGGTCGTTTCCCAGTACCTTGACTCATTTAGGTGGTGTGTCAGGGTCTATAGAGAGAAAAACCAAGTTAATGTTTCAAGTCTAACTGGACACTTCTTTGAATGTTAAAAAAGAATCATCTCATACTTGAAACATTAACTCCATTTCTCCCTCCACAAATGCTACCCGACTGACTGAATTTCATCAGCATTTTTCTTAAATTTCTGATTGCCAGCAGAGGTATTTTGCTTTCATTTCATTTGTGCTCATTCCAAATAGGCACCTCAAGCATCATAACCGGCAGGGCTATGGACCAATTGCTGGAAAGATAGGTGGCCTGTTTTTCAGCTGGTGCAGACGCGATGAGACAAAATGACCTTCCTCTGTGCCACAAACAGTCTATTATTCTAGGATTCAAATTTGATTTGATGGATGTCAAGGTGACTTGACCCAGACGAATAATATAGTTCAAGTTATCAACTATTTTATCGTCTGTGTAATCCTTAAGCAATTTTAAATTATTGTATTTAGTATACCTGTCATTCATCAACTACTCCCTCCGCCAAACATTGTCTGAATATTTTGATTCCAATGACCTGGAAATTTTAGTAAACAAGATTTTCAATTCCAATGTGGAAAATTCCTTGTAGTGTTTATTTGAAGGGCATTTCTTTGGTAAAATTCAATAAAAAATGTACTTTGAATAAAATACTTAAGAAACATTCATTACTTAATGTAAGATTCTAAACAATTAATCTTCTTTTAAGAGTCCCGTTATCTGTCTACTGAGCAACATGAACTGTGTAGGAACATCCTACAAAAATCCTTAACAGATTAGAACAAAAATAGCAGTTTTAAATTTTTAAGTATATATTTTTATTTCTTTAGTTTTATAGACTGAATTATCGTGGATTGGGGTAAACTTAATTGGTGTCGAGAGAGAGATTTTAAATAAAAACACCCGTAGATGTGGCCATTTCTATTTCAAAGCTCCTGGGTGCATTTTAGACACACTGTGGGATAAGTGGGTGTGAGACATGAAGTATCTATTCACTTTCAGCTCTGAATTAAATTATTAAAATCAGGGTCAGCGCTCAGGAGTTAGGCAGAAATCCCAACTGCTCCTAATCTGAGAAGCATTACGAACCATGCATCGGTGATAGCTGTCTGAACTGCAGCTATTCCTGACACCTTTTTCAGTCAGTGACAGCAGTTACAGTATAAGCGTACTGCCCTGTAGTTGCTGGGCTTCACTGACCCTTTTATGAACAGGTCTCCGTTCTCCTTCAAGACGATTTTGCCCAATACCAGACTTCTGATTGGTTTTTTTTTCCAACTAGGATCAGTAGTATGCTCAGAAGTACTTAGCACAGCAATAACCCTAGGATTGTTCCAGGGCGAATGGCTACAGCTGTATGTTTGGACATCAATGCAGAAACACCCAGTGGGTGAAGGAGAAAACATCTGCCTCATCTGCCCTTCTTTGAGTAGAAAAGTAAAAATAAATCCCAAGCAGCTAGGTACACTCTTGCTCTCTGCAATTTCTCTTCTTTGAAGAAGAAAAGGAAATAACACTTTCAGAGACCCCAAAAGGGCAAATTTTCAAATGGTAAATAAAAGACTGAGAATTAGTGTGTCTACAGCATAGCGTCTCCCTCAAAGACTTGAGCAGACTTGGAAAGGAACTGAAGGAAAATATCTCCAAATCCTGTAATCCAAACTGGTGCCAGACCTGCACTTCAGCAGCTTTTTTGTTTAAGTACCTCCCCACGTATAATGTTGTGTGTGCTTTGTATGCTTTGTATGCCTGGTTTGTGTATGGGGAGTTTGTAGGGAGCTGTAAGTTAACAATTAACATTTTTCTTCTGCCTATTAGTTAAAAACAACATATTTACACCAAATAACTGTTTACTTGTTAAGTACAAAAATCTGATTTCTTATAACACAAGTTTGTGACTTGGGCAGATTGGAGATTTCAACAACTCCAAGAATAGTGGAGGGGCTTGATTTCTTGTGCACTACCCTAGAGGTAGTGGTTCAAATTACAGGTTCAAAGTTTTCAAACTGGGATTTTCTCAGTCATCTACTGAAACCCACATTAGGCCCATTTTTAAATGGAAAACCGTAAACTAACTGTTAACTCCACACTTTGTGTTCAAGGCCCAGGAAAAAAACAGTTATTTTAAAAATTGGCAGAATTTTTAATTTATCCAAAAGGCATCAAATGCAGCAGTGCAAAATCATGTAGCATCTCCATAGTCTTTGTAGCTTTAATGAAGGAAACAGGTAGGTGTACAGACTATTAAGGGTCACCAGAGTGATAACCATCCTTTACTCTTTGTCATACCTTTTGTCCATTTCTATGATACAGACCTCAAAAATGCTAGAGGTCATCCAGGTGATTTTGTTAGCCTCATACTGCATGGGTAGTGTTTGTACATTCGCAAGGCAGTCTGGCCTCGTGGACTTTCCAATCACCAGAAGTGGCAGCTGTTCCATATCATGCATGTAAGTGCAGGCCATAGCAGTGACACATTCTTTACTCCAGTTACCACTGCATTTGTCCGAGTGTAGCATCAAAGAACCCAAGTAAAACTGGGGTCAATAGGAATCAAGGGAGAAAACTCCATGGTTGGAAGATGGTTGTGGTTATTGGAGGTCTGTCATATCAGCT